CCATTAGATTTTGTGAGACTTGTTCACTACCAGGAGAACAGTATGGGGAAACCACCCCCATAATTCAATTATCTCCCACTGAGTCCCTCCCACAACACATGGGAATTATGGGAGCTATAATTCTAGATGTGATTTGGGTGGGGACACAGCCAAACCATACCAGATATTGCCCAGGATAGTCTTAAACTGTTGGCCTCAAGCAATCCTCCTACCTTGGGATTACAGGTGTGAGATTACAGGCATGAACCACCATGCCTGGCCTTATAATTTAACTTCAATAACATGTTGGAATAAGATAAAAAGATTGTTTTGGATGGGTGTTGTGGCTCATGCCTGTAATCCCAGCACTTCAGGAGGCCTAGGCAAGCAGATCACTTGAGGTCAGGAGTTCTGGCCAACATGGTGAAACCCTGACTCTACTAAAAATACAAAAATTACTTGGACTTGGTGGCGGCGCCTGTGTCCAAGCTTCCCAGGAGGCTGAGGCAGCAGAATTGCTTGAATTTGGGAGGTGGAGGTTGCTGTGAGTTGAGATTGTGCCACTGCACTCGAGCCTGGACAACAGAGCAAGACTGTGTCTAAAAAAAAATATATATATATGTATATATATATATGTATGTATGTATATATATATATATATATATATATGGCCAGGTGCAGTGGCTCATGCCTGTAATCCCAGCACTTTGGGAGGCTGAGGTGGGTGGATCACAAGGTCAGGAGTTTGAGACCAGCCTGACCAACATGGTGAAACCCTATCTCTACTAAAAATACAAAAATTAGCCGGGCATGGTGGCACACACCTCTAATCCCAGCTGCTCAGGAGGCTGAGGCAGGAGAATCTGGGAGGTAGAGGTTATATGGAGCTGAGATCACACCACTGCACTCCAGCCTGGGCAACAGAGTGAGACTGTCTCAACAACAACAATAACAACAACAACAACAAAAATATATATATATATATAAATATATATATATATACACACACACACACACACATATACATATATAGGTTTTAGAAAATAATTTGTGTATAATTCATGGTAATTTTATGCTATCCTTGATACATGATGATGCTTCACACTGTGGTAAGGACCAGCTTTTAGAGCTCTGTCATTTGTTCCCATTATAGGAATGCCATCTGTACCAAGTAGTAGCTATTCTGTTTATGCTGAATATGGCAAAACCATCATCATCACCCCTCACATATACACACATATTCAACACTTTTTGTACTTGATATTTTTCAATTTATGCTGTTTTGGAGTGCATTTGTAACAATTTTGCAACTAACACTTTCATGGTATAGTATAATTTATAGCACAGTTTCATATCTATTAGTTCATTTTATTGTCCAACAACCCTAAACAGTAGATACTATTAATATTCCATTTTACAGCTGAGACAACATGTGATAGTATTTTATGCTCATGCTTAAGTATACAGCCATTCCATCCCTTTTTATGTTTTTTAAAATTCTGAGCTCAAAACAAAATGATCCCTTTCTTAGCATGTGATCTTCTTAAATGCTCTCTTTTCTTTGTCAGAATAAATTTTTTGTCATTTTATTTTATTTTTTCTGAGACGGGGTCTTGCTCTGTTGCCCAGGCTGGAATGCAGTGTTGCAATCTTGGCTCACTGCAACCTCCACTTCCTGGGTTCAAGTGATTCTCCTGCCTTAGCCTCCTGAGTAGCTGGGATTACAGGTACGTGCCACCATGTGTGGATTATTTTTTGTGTTTTTAGTAGAGATGAGATTTCACTATGTTGACCAGACTGGTCTTGAACTCCTGACCTCAAGTTTTGTAACCGCCTCAGCCTCCCAAAGTGCTGGGATTATAGGCTTGATTCAACAGCACCTGGTCAAATTTTTTGTCATATTTTTATTTTCTTTCCTATGTACTTTCTTTCTTTTCTCTGCTTGTTTCCCTTTTCAGTCTGACCATAGGGTTGATCCTTATGTTTTTGAAGCATCACTAACTACAAAACAATAGTGATGGTGGTATATATTATATAGTATTTTCAAACTTCACAGATGAGATCTTATTTTTATCTTCACAACAGGTATCTGAGGTAAGCAAGCCATATGTAAATTTCTTTTATTTTCAATTTTTTAATTAAAAAACTTAAAAAATAATAGAGGTGGGGTTTTGCCATATTATTCAGGCTGGTCTCGAAATCCTGGCTTCAAGCAATCTTTTTTTTTTGAGACGAAGTTTGGCTCTTGCCCAGGCTGGAGTACAGTGTCACCATCTCGGCTCACCAAAAACTCTGCTTCCTGGGTTCTAGTGATTCTCCTGCCTCAGCCTCTCGAGTAGCTGGAATTACAGGCATGCATCACCACACCCAGCTAATTTTGTATTTTTAGTAGAGATGGGGTTTCTCCAGGTTGGTCAGGCTGTTGAATTCCCAACCTCAGATGATTGTCCCACCTTGGCCTCCCAAAGTGCTGGGATTACAGGTGTGAGCCACCGCACCTGGCCCCGACTTCAAGCAATCTATATGCCTTGGACTCCCAAAGTGCTAGGATTAGAGGCATAAGCCACCATGTCCAGGCTTTTTTTTTTTTTTTTTCCCCAGACATGGTCTTACTCTGTCACTCAATTTGGAGTGTGGTGACGCAGTCAGCTCACTGTAACCTCAAATTCCTGGGCTCAAGGGATTCTCCTGCCTCAGCTTCCTGAGTAGCTGGGACTATAGGTGCATGTCATCATGCCTGGCTAATTTTTAAATTTTTACTGACATGGGATTTTGTTTTGTTGCCCAGATTGGTCTTGAACATCTGGCCTCAAGCAATCCTCCTGCCCTGGCCTCCCAAAGTGTTGGGATTATGGTTGTGAGCCACCATGCCTGGCTTGTAAATTTTTTTTTTTGCTGGATTAAAACTTGCAATCAGAGTGTTAAATAAAGGTATTTTTGGTTAAAATCATATAACTAGTAAGTGTTAACAACATGAATACTTGGGCTTTTGCTCTAGTCCAGGGCCCTTTCCACTGCCGTTATGACTCTATGTATTCTGGTATAATGAAATGCAGACTTAACATTATTTTCTCTCAAAATTTCTTTCAAACTTTCATATTACCAACCGCTTACTCAGAATTCAATCCAGAGAGGCAGTTTTTCTTGTTGCTTTGTCACAAACTTTCTATAAAAAGTAATTGTCAACAAGGCAGTTCAATAATTTGCCAAATTTTCTTTACTCAGCAAAACATATCTTTGAGCAGTTGTCACTGCTTTTTTTTTTTCTTGTTTGCCCATTTTGTAATCTGTGTAAGGACTCTATCGATGTATTATGTGTCTCTGTATTAGTTTCCTAGGCCTGCTGTAACAAATGAAAGGGTATTGAACTTCATTAGTTGTCAGAGAAATGCAAATTAAGGCCAAAATGAGAAATGACAAGCTGGGTGGCTTAAAACAAAAGAAATTTACGCTTTCATCGTTCAGGAGGCCAGAGTCCAAAATTAAGTGGTTGCAGAATTGGTCCCTTCTTAGCGACTCAGAAGGGGAATCTATTCAGGCCTCTCTCCTGGCTGCCAGCAATCCTCGGCATTCCTTGGCTTGCAGCTGTGTGATTTTGATCTCTGCCTCCATCTTCACGTGGCTGCCTTCCCTCTTGTCTGTCTTCACATGGCTCTCTCCCTTCCGTGTATGTCTGTGTCTGTGTCTCCTCTGCTCTTTTTTTTTTTTTTTTTTTTTGAGACTTTTGGCTCTTGTTGCCCAGGCTGGAGTGCAATGGCATGATCTAGGCTCTCCATAACCTCCGTCTCCCAGGTTAAAGTGATTCTCCTGCCTCAGCCTCCTGAGTAGCTGGAATTAACAGGCACCCACCACCACGTCTGGCTAATTTTGTATTTTTAGTAGAGACGGGGTTTCTTTATGTTGGTCAGGCTGTCTTGAACCCCCGACCTCAGGTGATCGGCCTGCCTCTGCCTCCCAAAGTACTGGGATTACAGGCATGAGCCACCACACCCAGCCTGTCTCCTCTGCTCTTTAAGGACAACAGTCACATTGTATTCAAGGCTCATTCTACTCCAGCATGACCTTATCTTATTAACTTAGGCCTTAATTGCATCTGCAAAACCCCTCTTTCCAAAAAAGGTCCTGTTCATAGGTACCAGATGTTAGGACTTCATATCTTTTGCGGGAACACAATTCAACCCATAACAATGTACGTTCTTTTTCCGTTGTCTCTACCTCTGTTCTTGTGATATGTTTACCCATGTGCTTCTTGCAAGTGTCTGTTGAATTGACCTTGTTTATAGATTTCCATATCTATCTTTTCTCCACATCATTTATATATAGAGTCATGTTGCTTGACGGAGGTATGTTCTGAGAAATGTGTCATGAGGCAATTTTGTTGTGCAAACATCTTAGAGTATACTTACACAGACTAGATGGTATAGCCTTCCTACATACCTAAGCTTCACGATATAGCCTGTTGCTCCTGGGCTGCAAGCTGTACAGCATGGTACTATACTGAATGCTGTTAGCAATTATACAATGTTAAGTGCTTGTATATCCAAACATATCTAAACAAAGAAATGGTACAGTAAAAATACAATGGAAGAGATAAAAAAAAAATGGTTCCAAGTACAGCTGCAACTTAAAAAAAAAAAAAAGATAAAAATGATGTACCTATAGGGCACTTACCATGAATGGAGCCTGCAGGACTGGAAGTTGCTCTGCGTAAGTCAGTGAGCAAGTGGTGAGTGAGTGTGAAGGCCTCGGACATAAACATACACTTCTGTAGATTTTAAATCACTGTACACTTAGGCTACACTAAATTTATTTAAAAATTTTTTCTTTGTTCTTGGGAATATGGAAATATACTTAACCTTTATATGTGTTAACCTTTTATCCAGAAACTTTGCTAATTTCACTGGTTAGTTCTGATAATTATATGTAGATTCTTTTGAAATTTCTATGGAAATGTTCATGTTATGTACAAATAATAATAGCTTATATCTTTTTTGTTTTCTTTTGTTCTTTATTCAATACAGTATCAGAGGTTCTGGTGATAGCAGATATTCACAGTCTCAAGGGGAAAGATATCAACATTTCACTGAAAAGTATGATTTTTGCTATAGTTTTAAAATACATATCCTTTGTGAAATTAATGACGCTCCCTTTCTGTTTCTTGTTTGCTGAGTTGGTTTTTTTTTTCTTAATTGTGAGCCAATGTTAAATTTTACCAAATGTGAGCTATGCATCTGTTGAGCAATTGTAGTATGATTTTTGTCTTCATTCTACTTGTGTGGTAAATTGCAGTTATTGATTTTCAAATATCAAACCAACTTTACATTCCTAAAATAAGCCCAATTTTGTCATGTCCTTTTTATATATTGCTGATTTGGGCTTGCTAACATTTGGCTTAGTATATTTGCATCAATACTGATTAGTGAGAATGGCCTGTAATTTTCCTTTCTTATAATACCTCTGTTAGGGTTTGATATCAAAATTATGTTGGCCTCATAAAATGAGTTGAGGAATGTTCCTTCATCTGTATTCTGTAAGAGTTTGTGTAAGATTGCCTCTTTTTTTTTGTCTTCTTTATATATTTGTTAATAAATTTGCTAGTGAAACCACCTGGGTGTGGAGATTTCATTGTGGGTAGGCTTTCAATGAGGCTGTCAATTTTTCAGTAGATCTAGAACTCTTCAAAATTTCTTTCTATATCAGTTTAGCAAAAAGTGTTTTTTTCAATGTTTGTCTATTTTACTTAAATGTTCGTGATGATGGCATTATTTATAATGTTCCTTTCACATTCTGTTTTCTGCAGTGATACTCCATTTTTTCATTTTTGATATTATTCTCTCTCTTTTTTTCCCCCTCATGTCATTCTTGCCAGGGTTTTTTTAGTCTTTTTAAAGAAGCAACTTTATTTTGTTGACTTTGTTGTGTTTTTTTATTTAGTTAACTTCATCTGTTTCTATTTCTTTCCCTCTATTTTCTTTGGGTTTAATTGGCTGCTCTTATTGGTTGTATTTTTCCTAACCTCTTTCTAATATATATGTTAAAGGTCAGCCATTTATAAGCATAAAATTATCTGTATTCATAAGCTTTAATATTTATTGTGAATCAGTTAAGAATATTTTCTAATTTTCATTATGATTTTTTGACCCATGAATTATTTACATGGATATTTCTTAATTTCCAAACATGAGAATTTTTTTTTTTTTTTAAGATGGAGTTCCACTCTGTCACCCAGGCTAGAGTGCAGTGGCACGAACTCGGCTCACTGCAACCTCTGTCTCCTGGATTCAAGTGATTCTCCTGCCTCAGCCTGCCATGTAGATGGGATTACAGGGATGTGCCAACACTCATGGCAAATTCTTTATTTTTAGTAGAGATGGGGTTTTGCCATGTTGGTCAGGCTGGTTTCAAACTCCCGACCTCAGTTGTTCTGCCCACCTTGGCCTCCCTGGTCGGCCACCCCGCCCAGACCTCTTTTCTTTTACTTTTGAGCTGGGTCTTGCTCTGTTGCCCCCAGTTGTATGCAGTGGCACTGTTATAGCTCACAGCTACCTCAAACCTCTGTACTCAAGCAGTCCTTCCACTTCGGCCTCCTGAGTAGCTGGGACCACAGGTGTGTGCCACCATGCCTGGCTAGTTTTTGTATTTTTGTTTTGTAGAGTCAGGGTTTTACCATGTTGCCCAGCCTGATCTCTAGCTTCTAGACTCAAGTGATCTGCCCTCCTCAGCCTCCCAAAGTTCTGGGATTACAGGCTTGAGCCATCAGGCCCAGCCTTGAACAATATTTTTAAAGTTTAGGTTTTATATCACTTTGTCCAAAACTTATTACCATAATCCATTTTAATTCATAAGACTGAAATAAGTACTTGAGGTATTTGAAGTTCTATTGGAGGTTTAGTTGAAGAGCAAGAATAAATGTAACATGGGTTTAGCCCTTAAGGATTTTATAATCTGGTATGACATCAGACACAGGTTTCTGTAATATTAGAGTAGAATGTGATAAGTAGCAGCCACAAGGAAGGATGGTGTATTTATAAAATACTTGAATAGGAACACTGAGAAAGTCATGATACACAAACTGTTTGTCTTTTGCAACCTAGCTATATTAGTCCATTTTATACTACTCATAAAGACATACCTGAGACTGGGAAGAAAAAGAGGTTTAATTGGACTTACAGTTCCACATGCCTGGGGAGGCCTCAGAATCATGACAGTAGACAAAAGGTACTTCTTACATGGCAGTGGCAAGAGAAAATGAGGAGGAAGCAAAAGTGGAAACGACTGATAAAACCATCAGAGACTTATTTACTATCACGAGAATAACATGGGAAAGATGGCCCCGTGATTCAATTACCTCCCCCTGGGTCCCTCCCACAACATGTGAGAATTCTGGGAGATACAATTCTAGTTGAGATTTGGGTGGGCCAAACCGTATCACTAGCATACTGAAAGATTTAAAAGTATATATGATGATCTTTTTGGTTATATATTCAGAATACCTGGCTGTTTGCAAGACAGTTGAAACTACTTTGAAGAAATATGGCACTCTGAAGATGTCTGCTGAGAAGTATTTCAACAAACAATGCTGTTGCTAGGGTTACATATTAATGCTGTCTTTATTTTGCTAAATGTTTATCAGTTTTCTTTCACTATCTGGCATGGCTTTTTTATTCATACTAAGCCTTCTAAACCTGGGATATTTTACACCTGTACCTCATATTTACAGCACATCTCAATTCAGAGTAGCCATGTTTCAAGTGCTAAATAGTGACAAATGGCTAATGACTACACTTTTGGACAATGTATATCTAGATGGTGAGGTAAACTTTTCAAAAAACAAATAATTGTTACATTTGTTTAACTTTTTGTTAAGTAACTAAAGAAGCCTCTATTGAATTGGTCATAAGTAGGTGCCAGGGAGAGATTTAGATTTTCAAGGAAAATTTTACTGAAAAGTTGTCATTTGAATGATGTCTTCAACTATGAATATAAATTTGGTAGGTGAATGAAATAGGCTAGGGGAATAGCATATAAATCATGATGTTGTATAAGAGTAGGATTTGTTCAGAGGCTTTCAAGTGTTTTTTTGTGGTCAGAGAATAGGTATGTGTGTGCTAGTGGAAGGTGAGACTGGAAGGAGATTTTGAAAAATGTCAGATGCTAGTGATTTTTCACCAGTTCTTGTGTTATGAGTAATTTACCAGTAATGACAGCTAACTTCAGGATAAATTTTCAGAAGTGTAATTGATGGATCTAATTGAATGACCATTTAATGTACCCTCATACATTCAGGTAAACTCATGGGTTTAAACTAATTTACACTGCCTCTAGCAACTGTGCTGGTTTCAGTGCATGTTCAACTGCTATAATTAGTATAGTTTTAATGTGCTCATTTTGCTGCATTAGGTTTGCATTTTGTTACTGTGTTTTGCCATGTTTGCATTTTGTTACTCACCAATTTATTATTGGTGGTTGAACATTTTTCTTATCAACATTGAAAGTTTACTCCTGTCTATTCCTTAGATCCCATTCAAGCTTTACCAGTTGTCCCAGTAACATCCTTTAAAGCAGAAGGATCCAGTAGGGAATCAGACATTATACCTTAGCTTTCCCTTTTCTTTGAAGGAAAGTCCTTGACATTTTTGAAGATTACAGGTTGGTTATTTTATAGAATGTCTCCCAACTTGGTTTTGTCTGTTTCCTCATGATTAGACTCAGGCCACAGATTTTGACAGGAACATCTCTTCTCATTGCATAGGACTTTGATTTGTCTGATTACTAATGATCACTTTGATCATTTGATCAAGGCAGTGTCTGCCAGGTTTTACTGCTGTGAAGTTATTTTTTCCCTTGGAAGTAATGTGTAGTTTATGGGGAAAGTATTCTGAAACTATCTCATTTACTACCACACTTTCCATTTATTCATTCATTTATATATATATATTCATGATTTCTTATTTTGTTCAATAGGTTATAATCCACTGCTATCATTAATTGGTATTGATGCTGAAATTACCCCCCGTTTGGCCGGTGGGATCTCCTTCAACCTTGATCCTATGTCCTTTTGATAAGTCTTTAGCATCCCTTGAGCACTTTCTTGCTTTCTGGCACTAGATATTCTAGATTCATCCTGTAATTAGCCAATTACAATTCTCCAAAGAGGTCTGGCTCCTTTTATTGGAGAGTGGTATTAGAGACCAAGAGCTAGGTGCTAGAAACGTTGATGTCACTGGGGAGAGAAGATGGTCACTGCTCTAAGGCCCCCTCAGTAGATAGTATTACAGAGCTAGGGGGAGTATGCATCTACGTGTACTTATATATACACACACACCATGCATGTATGTCCATGTCTTTTGAAATCCGTTAGTTTACTCATACTTTCAGTTTCTCTTTTTTTGAGATGGAGTCTCACTCTGTTACCCAGGCTGGAGTATAGTGGCATGATCTCGGCTCACTGCAACCTCTGCCTCCGGGATTCAAGTGATTCTCCTGCCTCAGCCTCCCAAGTAGCTGGGATTACAGGTGCCCACTACCAAGACCGGCTAATTTTTTGTATTTTTAGTAGAGATGTGGTTTCACCATGTTGGCCAGGCTGGTCTCAAACTCCTGACCTCAAGTGATGCGCCCATTTCCGCCTCCCAGAGTGCTGGGATTACAGGCATGAGCCACCGTGCCTGGCCCAGTTTCAATCCACAGAGTTCATTCTAACTTTTTCCATTTCCATATTTGCATCTCCCAACTCTGGGTCCCATTTTCTTTAATGGATCTTTAATAGATCTTAAAAAAAATTTTTTTTTCTTTTATTAAAGAGATGGAATCTTGCTCTGTGCCACTCAGGCTGGAGTGCAGTGGAGTGATCATAGCTTACTGCACCCTTGAAATCCTGGCCTCAGACAATCATCCTACTTAAGCCTCCTGAGTAGCTGGATCTATGGGCACCCACCAGCACATCTAGCTAATTTTTTTTTTTTTGAGACAGAGTTTGGCTCTTGTTGCCTAGGCTGGAGTACAGTGGCGTGATCTCGGCTCACCATGACCTCTGCCTCTCAGGTTTAAGCTATTCTCCTGCCTCAGTCTCCTGAGTAGCCAGGACTACAGGCATGCTGTGCCACCACGCCTAGCTAATTTTGTGTTTTTATTAGAGATGGGGTTTCTCGGTGCTGATCAGGCTGGTCTTGAACTCCTGACCTCAGGTAATCCTCCAGCCGCGGCCTCCCAAAGTGCTGGGCTTACAGGCATGGGCCACCATGCCCAGCTACATCTGGCTAATTTTTAATTTTTTTGTAGAGACAGGATCCCACTGTGTTGCCCAGGCAAGTCTTGAACCCCCAGCCTCATGCGATCCTTCTGCTTCTGCCTCCCAGAGTGCTGGGATTACAGGCATAAGCCACTGTGCCTGGCCCTTAATAGATCTTATTTGATCCATCCTCTACATATAGCAAATCTCCCATTGCTGCTTTGAACCCATCTACATGGAGGCGCCGTCATTGTGCTTGGGCTCCTACTTTCCCTGCCAGTCCTCCATCCTCATGGGTGCCCTCACCACGCTTGGCCTTCAACATTCTGTGCAAGCTGGCTCTGCCTGCAAATGGCCTCCTAACATAGCTTATATTCCGACACCCATGCAGATACTCTATGATGTGAATACCCACTTGGTGGCTATAAGAGTGAATTTTTCAGGAATGGAAGAGAACTCTGATTTTCTACGTTTTACTTTAGTGATTCTAGCAGTGGGATTATTTTGACATTCTTTGAGTCCTTTCTGTTTTAGGTGTTATATTTTCCCTAATTCTGGGAAATTTAGTCATTATTTCTGCAAATATTTTTTCACCCCCATTTGTGTTTGTCTCCTCTCCTGTGTGAGCTATTGTGTGGCAGTTGATTTTCCTCATTTCTCTATTTTATCTCTTGCCTTTTATGTTATTTTATCTCTTTCTACTGTCTTTTGGCAGAGTACCCCAAATCTGATATTTCAGATTGTTAATTTGTTCAACTGTATCCTTTCTGTTCTTCAGTCCATCTATGCTCATTGTTTTACCAATTGTATCACATTATTTCAGTGATTATATTTTATCTGCCTATTTTTACACTCTATACCAGTACCAAATTCTCCTATGTTGTTCCAGGGATTTTTGTCTGTATGTAAACACAAATTAGTTTTAAAAATTTAGTTTAGGTTTATATTGTACATACTATCTCACAACTTACTGTTTTTTTTTTTTTTTTTTTTTTTACATGGCAGGTTTATGAAGTTGATTACACATGGAGATAGTTTGAATTGAATATACGTTTAATATACCTCTGTATGTGTGTGTGTGTGTGTGTGTGTGTGTGTGTGTGTGTGAGAGTGATTTTATATCCCTTTTATACTGAAGTATACTCATACCATTGCCTCACTTTCTTAAACAGAGTTGTAAGTTAGTGATTGGGTAGAGTTTGGTGGTCAGTATTCCTAACTGTTTTCATCTTTGGGGCCTTTAGGTTGTTTTCAATTTTTAAATGTTATGATACTGAAATAAATATGTGGATAAGGTATTTTCCATTTGTGGGGTCATTTTCCAGAATGAATAGATCAAATGGACAAATAAATGAATCAATATATTTAGATTGTTAACCATGTAGAGGAATGCCTAGAACATAACAGGCACTCAAATAATATTTATTAGATGAGAGAATGTTAAAAAATTGCTTTCCAATTAGGTTTCTATTTTTATCCATACCAACAGTAGGAGATGATCTGTTTTCTTACAGCATCTTACACTTCAATTATTTTTATGATTTGATTGTAATGAGAAGAATTCTGTATCTGTCTTGGATAAAAAATACTATCAGATGATGTAACTAAGGCTTTTTTCTATTTTTATTTTTGCCTACTGGATGAATTAACATATGTTTTCTTACAGGACTGAATTTGCTCTTAAAGAAATCATGTCCTCTGGAGGTGCTGAAGATGATATCCCACAGGGTGAAAGGAAAACAGTTACAGATTTTTGTTACCTTCTGGATAAATCTAAGCAGCTGTTCAATGGGTTAAGGTTAGTGGACTCTTGGTGTTTTGAACTTTTCTTTAGTTTTGCTTTTTTTTTTTTTTTTTGCTGATGTGTGGTAAGTTTCTGAAAATTATGGGTAGAATGTCATATAAATTTCTGTTAGAGTGATCTTGATTTTTTTCTTTGACATCGTTTTAAAAATTCTTAGATTAAAAAAATGGCAAAAGGGGATAACTTACACTGTTTTAGTCAAGTTAAAAAGAACTATTTTGTGAGATGTTTCGTGTGCATTACTCACACCAGATCTGATTTTCATTTGGTTTTGCACATTAGAATGTTGAGGTCTGAGGAGCCTAGAAATGCGTATGCAATTGGATGTGGAGCTTCCAATTTTCTGGGATGAAATGTCTGTGCCTAAAGTGGTGATGGTTGCCATTGTCTACCACATCGGGGTGGTGGCGGGGCAGGGAGTAGGAAAAGTAATGATGGGGTGTTCTAAACCATGCTATTTATGATTTAGCCTATATTTCAGTTCTTGAGAGTCCTAGGATCACTGACTTCAGACCTAAAGCTTCATTAGCTTAGTTCCAGTTAGAAGCAAATTAATACAATAGGTAAAATAGTAGGGATAAACAGGTTTTATTTTTGAAAATTTATATAGGAAGGAATGATTGTAAAGATAAGAGTTATTTTAATTTATGGTTTATTTATGAATAAAATGCAACCCCACCAGGTGTGGTGGCACGTGCCTGTAGTCCCAGCTACTTGGGAGACTAAGTTGGGAGGATTGCTTGAGCCCAGGAGTTCTGGACTGTAGTGTGCTGTGCTAATTGGGTGTCCGCAGTAAGTTCGGCATCAATATGGTGACCTCCCGGGAGCGGGGGACCACCAGGTTGCCTAAGGAGGGGTGAACCAGCCCAGATCGGAAACGGAGCAGGTCAAAACTCCCGTGCTGATCCGTAGTGGGATTGTGCCTGTGAACAGCCACTGAACTCCAGCCTGGGCAACATAGCAAGATCCCATCTCTAAAAAAAAAAAGAAAAAAAGCAAGCTTTTTATCTTACACCTTATAATTGTATTATGCATCCCCAGGTTTGGAAATATACTGGCAGGGTTTATTTTTAAACCAGCTAATTTATCTTTTAAAAAAACTTCTATGTGAATTTTTCAAATACCATTCTATCTAAAGCTGCCCTTTTAATCATTCTCTTTTTTTTTTTTATATTCATTTGATTTGCTTCATGACACTTACCACTAATTAAAATTATTTGTTTATTATGTCTCTCCTGCATGAAAATGAAGTGTCCCTAAGGGCAGGCCCCTGTTTGTCACTGTTTCTCTAGTATTTAAGCTCATGTCTTTGCTCATTGTAAATACTTTGTAAATATTTGTTAAATGGAGGATTCCAAAGACTGTGTTCTTAACTCCTGCACTTTGCTGCCTCCTCTTTTGTGCTGCAGAGGAGGTGTTTGAGATCATGTTTTTCCTTGGCTTTATAAATTAATTATGTCTTTTTAAAGAATATTTTCTTTCACTATTTTAATTCAGAAGTTTTCCTTGGTATGCCTGGTGTTTAAGTCTTTGTTTTCCTGTAACAGATTATTTTAAACCTCTTAAATTTGCATAGTTAGACTTTTTTTTCCTTGCTTTCCAGGTATATTTTTTTCTTCAGCATTTAATTGGCACCCAGTATGTACCACATTCTGTGTCGGGTATGAAAATTCAGAGATAAAACTAACAGTGTCTGCCCTCAGTTACTCTATGAGGAAATTATAAAAAAAACAAAACCCAAGGGAACGTTCTGCTCACAGCTAGCCTCACCTTTAGCGCATCCAGTGAGCCTATTTCCCACATATCTGTGTGCCTATTGAAATTAAGTAAATAAAAAGTTAAAAGAGGTCAGGCGTGGTGGCTCACGCCCATAATGCCAACACTTTGGGAGGCTGAAGTGGGAGGTTCACTTGAGCCCAGGAGTTCGAGATCAGCCTGGGCAACATGGTGAAACCTCTACAAAAACATGAAAAAATTAGCTGGATGTGCTGGTGAGTGCCTAAAGTCACCGCTACTCAGAAGACTGAGGCAGGAGGATTGCTTGAGCCCAGGAGGTCAAGGCTTTAGTGAGCTGGGATCACACCACTGCACTCCAGCCTGGCTGACAGAGCAAGACCCTTTCCCAAAAAATAAAAATAAAATATTAAAGGGATTATAGATTTGAAGAGTAGGAAGGCATTTAAAGCTTGCATGTAAATCCCTTGTGTAACTTCTGCCACATTGGCTCTCAAACTTAAAATACTGACATAGTTATAATAGCTCGGACCCCTTCTTCTTTTTGAGACAGTTTTATGGAGCTATATTTACATACAATAAAATTTGCCCATTCAAAGCTTGCAATTGAAAAGTTTAGTATGTTTGCAGAGTTGTGCAACTATTACTATGATTTAATTTTGGATCTTTTTAATCACTCCCAAAAGAAAACAGGTTCCTGTTAGCAGTGATTCTGCATTCTTCCAAACCCTGACCCTTGACAACCACTAATCTACCTTTTGTCTCTATGGATTTACCTATTTTGGATATTTTATTAAATAAGTGAAATCATACAGTAGGTGATCTTCCATCATGGACTTCTTTCGTTAGCATGTTTTTGAGGTTCATCTGTGTTGTAGCATGTGTTACTACTTTTATTACTGATTAATATTCCATTGTAAGAATTTATCACAATTTGTCCAGTCATCAGTTGATAGACATTTGAGTATTTTGTCTATCAAGAATAACAGTGCTATGAACATTTGTGTACAAGTTTTTGTGTGAGCATAGGTTTTCTTTTTTCTTTTTTATTTTTTTTTTTTGAGATGGAGTTTAGCTATTGTCACCCAGGCTGCAGTGCAATCATACAATTTCGGCACACTGCAACCTCTGCTTCCTGGGTTCAAGCGATTCTCCTGCCTCAGCCTCTTGAGTAAGTGGGATTACAGGCGTGTGCCACCACACCCAACTAATCTTTGTCTTTTTAGTAGAGATGGGTTTCACAGTGTTGGCCAGGCTGGTCTCGAACTCCTAACCTCAGGTAATCCACCTGCCTCAGCCTCCCAAAGTGCTGGGATTACAGTTATTTTGGCATATACCAAGGAATAGAATTCCTGGTTCATATGGTAATTCTGTGTTTAACCTTTTGAGGACCTGCCAAAGACTGTTTTCCAGAGTGACCTCATCACCAGTATTGTGTTTCAGTTTGTCCTCATCCTCACCAACACTTATTGTTTTCTGTCTTTTTGATTATGGACATCCTAGTGGGTGTAAAATGGTATCTCTTTGTTGTTTTGATTTGAATTTTCCTAATGTTGGGCATCTTTTTATGTGCTTATTAGCCATTTTTGTTTCTTCTTTGGGAAAATGTCTGTTCTAATTCTTTGACCAGTTAAAAAATTGGGTTATTTAAAAAATTATTAAGTTATTGGCTGGGCGCAGTGGCTCACACCTGTAATCCCAGTACTTTGGGAGGCTGAGTTGGGTAGAACATGAGGTCAGGAGTTTGAGATCAGCCTAGCCAACATGGTAAAACCCTTTCTCTACTAAAAAAAAAAAAAAATTAGCTGGGTATGGTGGCAGGCGCCTGTAATCCCAACTACTCCAGAGGCTGAGGCAGGGAATTGCTTGAACCTGGGAGGCAGAGGTTGCAGTGAGCCAAGATGGTGGCGCTGCACTCCAGCCTGGGTGACAGAGCAAGACTCTGTCTCAAAAAGAAAAATTAAGTTACAATTGTTTATATATTTTTGATACAAGTCCCTTATCCCTTATAAGATGTATGACCTTTGAAGCACAAATATTTTTAATTTTAATGAAGTTAAACTTGTCATCCTTCTCTTTCATTGCTTGTACTTTCGGTGTCGTATCTAAGAAATCATTGCCTAACCTAAGGTCATGAAAATTTACGCTTGTGTTTTCTTCTACGAGTTTTATAATTTTAGCTCTACATTTAGGTCTGTGATCCATTTTGAGTTATTTTTATTTGAATTTTTTGAGACGGATTCTCGCTCTGTGACCCAGGCTGGAGTCCAGTGGACGATCGCAGCTCACTGCAGCCTCTGCCTCCCAGGTTCAAGCAATTTTCCTGCCTTAGCCTTCTTAGTAGCTGGGATTATAGGCATGTGCCACCACACCTGGCTAATTTTTGTATTCTTTTTAGTAGAAATGGGATTTTGCCAGGTTGGCCAGGCTAGTCTTGAACTTCTGACCTCAAGTGATCTACCCGCCTCGGCCTCCCAAAGTGCTGGGATTGCAGGCATGAGCCACTATGCCCAGCCCATGTTGAGTTAATATTTGTGTATTGAATGGGATGTTAGTTTTATGTTATTTTTTAAACCAGAAAAAGATTTCCAATTATTTTGATTATTACATATTTTTCATTTTTTCTTTTTAAACATTGATGCATAATAATTTTACATATGTATGAGGTACATGTGATATTTTGTTACATACATACCATTGTAATGATCACATCATGGATTTGGGATATCCATCACTTCAAACATTTATTATTTCTTTGTGTTAGGAACATTTTAAATCTACTCTTTGAGCTATTTTGAAATATAAATCTTATATCCCAGGTGTGGAGTAGTGTCTAATACGGTGTTTTAAAATTTGGCAATATTAATAATGATAAATTTTGATCTGTCACCTGGAAGAGTGGATAAGCAAATATACCAGGGATATATTTTCAGTGTCTTATTGAATGACCCTCTTCAATTTAAATAAGCCATAATTGGCTGGGCGCAGTGGCTCACACTGTAATCCCAGCACTTTGGGAGGCAAAGGCGGCTGGATCACCTGAGGTCAGGAGTTTGAGACCAGCCTGGCTAACATGGTGAAATCTTGTCTCTACTAAAAATGTGAAAATTAGCCAGGCATGGTGGCGCACACCTGTAATCTCAGCTACTCGGGAGGCTGAGACAGGAGGATCGCTTGAACCCAAGAGACAGAGGTTTCAGTTAGTTGAGATCATGCCACTGCACTCTAGCCTGGGTGACAGAGCAATACTTTGTCTCAAA